CGAGACTCGCCACCTGAGGACTTTGAGGTGATCGGTGAGAGCGCGTGAAGTGCGGAGATGGCCGGACCTGCCATTGACTCTCACAGTGAAGCCAAGCACTACTCATATAAAGTATTATGAAGACCTATTGTCCGTAGTAGGGGTTGGATGTAAAGCGATTAACGCCAAAATGACTCCGTGCACCTCGGATGCTTCTCGCCGGAGATTTCGAATGTGTGCCTCAGAATTACACTCAATACTGAACTCATCAAAGTGCTTATTACAAATTGTGGTGCTAAAAGGTTCAATAAATTTATAGCTTCTGATTGTTTCTATCATGTAAGTACCTTACACGAAGCAGGTCATTCCTCTGACACAATCGCCTCCTCAGTATGTCTGCAGGTCTTGCAAGCAGTTTGCACATCTCGAGTACATAATGGTGTGTATACATATATATATATATATGCAGGTCTTGCATTCTTTGCATTGTTTACATCCGCAAACACCAGATGTCTCACGGGCGCCCGTGGACATGCACACTCTGCAGCATGATGTTCTCGCAACAATCTGGGTGTCTCTCAGCACAACTCCAAGTGAGGGACACAAGTTCTTCATGCGTTTTCAAGCAGCTGTGGAGCTTCTCAGCAACGCCCTGGGCGCAGGGGCGGGGAAGCGTTGCGCACCGGCGGTTCTTCGGTGAGAAGCGAGCATGACAGTCAGAGGTGAGAAGGGGGAAATGCCGTTGACTGGGACAAAGCCGGAAGGCTAAAAACCAGGCAAACAATGATGCTCTCCAGGTATTGGACGTCTGCTGAAAAACATATTGAACACCGCTGAAACGCCAAGATTGAATGCTTCTATAAATCCACTCCATTCCACTCCCAGCTCCTCAGGCAACTGTGCCAAATAGTCCAGCATGGAGAACTCCAAGGGTTCCTACGCCGGCGTCAACCTACTGCCCCATCTGGGCCCCCAAGGGTTCCTACGCCGATCTACGCCGCATTGCCCCAGCCTCAGCCTCCTTGTTTCTCTGCCTCCGCCCCAACAGGAACACACCCAACCACATCGAACCGGATTGCTCCGCCATGGTCGAACCGGGGCGACTCACTGGGCACCGCCCCAGGTTGAAGTAACCGACACATGTGTCCAATCCCACCCAAACGGGAACAGTTCGAAACCGGAGATGGGCCAATGGATGTTCACCAATTGTGCGCACCTGTTGTGCCACGAAAGTCTTTCTGCAGTACTGGTGGAACGTGTTCCAACGTGCTGCTGCACTTCTATATAGTATATATGATCATATTGATCATATATATATATATAAATGACTGTTTTATATACGAATGAATGTTCTGTAATAATGAAAGTGTTGCATGCGACAAATCTCCAGCCTCTCTGAGATCGACTCTTCTTGCAAAGAGCCTTCAGCACAAAAGCTTGTTTATCAAACTTGACTTATAAAAATCATTTGGAAGATGGCTGAGAAGTGCTTTGAGAAACACTCTCTGCAGATATGTCCAACTTGAGTTGAGGCTTCACTGAGGGCGCAGCATGTTTCATCATCACTGTCCCACATGTAGAAACACTCTATCTCTGGTCCCTGCATCTGCCAACGTGTCTTGCAGAATCGCAATAAATTGCACAGGGATTTGCTGTAAAGGACCAAATACAACAGGCCTTGCCAGTCTTCACTTCTTCATTCTCATGTTCTTCAACATCCTGACCCGACGGCAAAAACAATAGGGCAAACCAAAATAACAAAAATAGCAAAAAGCCCAGCAAGATCGGAGAAGAAGAAGAAGAAGAAGAACAACAACAACAACATACAACTACCAAACGAACATTCTCCGCACTTTAGCCAACCGGTCGACCTTCAGCACGTCATCACAGGCATCCAGCTCCAAGCACTTCTGGGGATGCTCTTCTTCATCGTGCGTGGATGATGCATCTCCATGGTCTGAACTAATTTCAAGTGTGTCGCCCGAGAAGGTATTGCTGACTTCTTCCGCGAAGGCCATATGCTCCGGACGCTTTCCTTCTTCAGCAATTGTGGCCAAATTGCTCCCGCTCTCCAGCAGGTAGCCATTTTGCGCTATCAGATCCTTGACCATCGAACATCACAAGCATTCACAAGCACTTGTACTCTTTGCCTCATTGGATGATGTCCTTTCGCACCTGTCTGAGTACAAGACATGGGCGTCGCCGGAATCGGGCACCGAGCCCCGAGGAACACTCGCTCCAACGGGTACTCGGCATCGGTCTTCCCAAGCTCAGGGTCACAGAGACTCACACAACAGACTTCTTAGATTCTGCCATAATTAAGTAACCATCAGAATCATAAGTATCATAAGCTCACCACTGCCAATGTTGAGACGTCCAGGCTGCTTGACCATGGTCGGCCTCAACGTCGCAAGGCTTCAGCGTTCGGTTTTGATTCATCGGCAGAGCGTCCGACCCAGAAGTGGTGCGACCCTGAAACTTCATGGCACGTTGCTTGACCTGATTGTGTGATATCAAAAGCGCTCCTTGTAGACTAGCCATGGAATGCAAAGAGAACGCAAGACATCTAACCACAAGGGTCTTGCCATGCAAAGGGCCAATCTAGGAACCCTTCTCATCCCTTCTCTATCTTCTCTTCAGCTCTGAAAAAATGACAGTCCATGCCTTCACGTGGCTGTGAGAATCTATCGAATAAGCCACCTCCCAGGTAGTCATCGCTTGTTTCGATGACTTGGGCCCTGTCGGTTGACACATGTTGATTCATCCCATGTACAGCCATGTCCCCTGTCCCATGAAACGAGATGTCGATGCATGGGACAAAAACAACATGTGCATCTTGGATATCTTGAGATCAAAGCTGATGGCTCCCATATTTCTCCCGAAGTCTGATGGCTGGGGTTTCTCCCTGCCTGTTGGGCTTTCTCGACGTCCGACTCCCCTATTCGCTGGCGCCTGAAGAAACCAACCCACTCGGTACGGACGGACTCTCGGCGGTTCCCAGGCGATTCGAACTCGTGACTGTAGAGCATCGAAGCTCATTCTTCTTCGTCTGATGTATATTTGCTGATGATTCCTTCACTGCCTATGGCCTTGACGGACAGGGACCGCAAGTCGTGCTATTTGCTGATGATTCGCGGCAGCATGTGATTATTAAGGTTTTCTAAACTCAGAGATACAATAATTTACAATGTATCTTTTTGGGGGATGGTGGTATTTTATCTTATCTCGTTTAGACTACTTAAGTAGGAGGTCAGGTCACAGTAATGATCTCGTTCAGAGTACTTTAGTAGCAGATCGCACTATCTCGTTCAGACTATTTTTGTGTCATCCAGCAAAAGATATCGTTTATGTGGGGGCCCTATCTCGTGCACAAGTGAATACTGATAGACTGATAGACAAGCAAATAGAGCATGCCGTAGACTACTTGAGTAAAGACTAAATAAAAGTCGGTTGCTCATATAGACGCATGTAGGCTACTGGCTCCACAATACGGCTGTGTGAAGTGTAAAAGGGTCTGAGCATGTCTGAGTTTTGCGCTGTCTGTTCAGTTTTGACTGGAGATCTCCACGATGAAGCTCCTGCAGTCATGCTCTGTTTGTTCAACATCATTGGGAGGACTTCTTCAATCAAACCATGATCCTGACCTTGTGCACTTGATGGCTGTGCTGCGACTGTGGTGAATATTGTGGGAATCTATTCTATAGGGTCTCGATGGACACACAAAGTCTTCTTACAATGCAACACTGGAGAATAGTGGAACAGCGGCCTGTACTAGGATCCGTGACCCTCTTCTACATTCTTCTCCTGCACCGTTCTGCTTGGTGTGTGGCTGGCTACAGACCTAAGTCGCTCAGAGAACCAAGTTCCAGTACGATAGGGCAAACTGTTGAATGCTCCCCCAGGGGCCAAACGCGTGAACTGCAGTTTCAGTGGGCACGTCATCCTCCCCCATTCGGAGGCGCCTCGATCTCTCTAAGTCTTTGCAGCAAGTTGCGATTGAGCCATTTCTCTTCGACTTGAGCACGAAATGTGTCACAAAGCCACCGGCTGCCGCCGGAGCTTCTGCAACAGCTCCTGATTTGCCATGTTTCGACCTTGATTCCGCAATGATGCGCAGACAGTGGGCCTGAACCGAAGATGGTTTTCAGCATTCTTTCCCTCCCAGACATGGCTTTCCCATGTCCACCGAAGCCATGGTCTTCACCGAAGACGTCCGTCTGACACGGTGGAAAGTGTCCAAGGACTCGACACGGTGGACGGCGCCACGGACAGCGCCACGGCGCTACCGTTCGATGAAGTTCTAAATGCCAAAGAAAGCGAACGATGGCTGGAGCTGGTTGATGCTGGTGGCAGGAATTGGCAGGATGTTGCAGGCATCTGCATGCAGGTTCTTTTGAAGGTGAAATACCCGCTGAGACGGATTGCTTTTGTTAAGATTCTTGAGTTTAGAATAATGAATCATCAGTGTTATACAAGCCAAACTGCGGGAAAGAATGCTGAAACAGTCTGATGTGTCGACTCTTGGGCATGCACAAGAACCTCTTAAGCTGATATATGTCTTTTGTTCCCGTTCCAGCAGTGTTCAGCCGGCACTGCCAGAAATCGAAAAGGTGGACCACAAACTCTCGAGGCTCCCAAAACACCAGGTGCCTCATGTGCATTCCACAGAATGCAGTCCCGGCAACAGCGCCTCTCTCAAACGACCAAGCTCGCTCTCCCGGCAATACTGAGGATATCGCATGGCAAAAGCATACATCGAAAACACATCGAAACACTGACTGGTCAACGTTGTTTGGAACATTCGGGAGTCATAATTTGCAAAAAAAACAGAATGCGAGTCGTCCCGACTCTCACAACCCCATGGAGATGTCCAGCCTGCAATGGATGGGTAAGATGTGCGACTTCAGTGGCAAACAAACGATAACAAACGTACAATTACATGTTACAGTAATTATATATATATATATTAGATGTACAAATCTCGCTACTGCAACAAGCATCGAGAAATCCCCTTTCCGACCTCACTCGCACCTTTTCAGCGTGTTGTTTGCCTTCTCCTGCAGCGCTACACCCGGCGACCAAGCCGAACTCGCCGGGTGCCATCGCACGGGCCCAGCGCCCTGCCTCCAGCTCCCCCCTTCTCGTCATGAGGTGAATGGCTCTTCGGGCCTGGACCGAACAACGCGAAAGAAAAGGTCCTACCCCAGGCTAGCATAGCCTAGCTATGCTAGCTGCTAGCTGTGGAAGTAGGGGTCTCCCCACAAATCCACATCCACATGCATTTTGGCTGGTCCACATCACATCCGTTTTCTTTCACGTTGAAAAAACGCCACGTCCAGAAGCGGAGCGGAGCGTTCCAGCAGTCAGTCCGAGTGATTCACAGGAACCCCGACGGTTTGCTCTGCCACCCCTCCCAGAGAGACGAGCTGTTGTTCAAGAAGGAACTTGTTTTTACGACCTGAGGACGTTGGACGACTGAAGGATAGTAAAAGCTTCTCGTGCTTGGGACACAAGCTTCAAATGCCCAAAAAATAACTGGAATGATCACATTGACATAAACTAGATTACTACGCAATCAAAATTCGACCAAATGCAACCTTTTCTCCTGGATGCACGGTATCATGTCTGCACAACCCGGATTCGTGTCCGAGAGAGGCCACGGATGTCTCCGAAACCCCAGTTGCGGCACATTTGCTCAAGACCTTCCAACCCAATCAGCGTCCAACTGGACGGAAACCTTCGTCTCAAAGTATCTGATTGCTTCAACCAGCGGGTTCTAACAGGGAGCAACATGTCGCAGGAAGCAGATTGCAAAGCAATCAGCCGTGCATCTTGAATTGCACAGTTTGTCCAACGAGGGTGCAATGTTATCAGAAAATTAATTGCTCGTGTTCCTTAAATGGAATTATGATGCTTGGTGCTTGCTTCGAAGTCCATGCTATGTGGATGAAACATGCAATGACTCGAAACTCTGCAATTCAAAGCGAGGATTCAGCAAGGGTGTCCGGGCTACGGTATCATCTTTTATGCTGCATCAAACTGATGGGATTGCAATCCAGATAAATCATGTTCTTTCTGCCGGAGCCGCATCCGAACTACGGACTGCTGCACATTTCGTCAGCAGCTGAAATACTTTTTCTATCTTTTTCTTGGTACCGTTCAATATATGAATCAACTGGACGCTTTTTCTTGGTCCAATTGAGACATTGCATTAGATGGTTTTCGATTTCTGCAACTGGGGTTGTGGAGGAAACTTGGAATGAAGCACCGTCGAGACTGCCACCAACACCTCGAGACAGTGACGCGTCGGTGTCGCCGTCGGACTCCGAAGAAATAGACAGAATCCTGATGACGGTATTGTCCATCTTGTTTAGTCAAACGACCTGCCAGCTGGCGTTTGAAGTGTCTTTTAAGTGCAAGAGTCTGCTGCCAGAAGGTGTCTGCTCGTCAAAGGTGTGTCTTCCAGCAAAGCTTGTGAGAGGGTGGTCAGCACCTCAACGCACTGTGAGGGTGGCCACAGTCGAAGCTAGGCCGCCGAAACTCCGTTTCTACTCCTTTCCCCGTACTGCGCATGCCCATCGAGTTCCCGAGTTCCTTCGACTCGCACAAAACGAGGCGAAACGTTTGGGTTCGCCGACTCGTTGTCTCTGTCCGACTTGGAGTTGATGAATCAACCCTTCCGAATCATCCAAAGCCCAAACGTTGGAGCCCTGAAACAGCAGAATGGCAAAGACAAAGCTAGAAGCAATATGAAGCAATACATATTCACATTCATATTAAGCATGGAACAAATTGGAACAACATGTTTCTTGATGTTTTTTGAACCAGGGCTTCTTGTGCCAGGAAGCTATGCCGGCCACAAGCGCAAAACCCTTCTTCACTGCATCTGAATACCTGATATCGCAGCGAAAAACACGCCCTTTGATATCTGTGACCAAAGAGAAAAACCCGAAGGGCTCACATGACAGTGCTCCACAGCTCCAAAGCAAACTCCTTTTGAGGACCAGGTGACACGACCAGGCGAATACAGATGGAGACCTAACTCGTAGAACTAATTTGGAGACCTAACTCGCAATGTTTGCTCTCCCTATTTCAATACACACTGAACAACAATTGGCATTGTGAGTCAGGGATGATGATCTTTATCTTGCTTGACGCATCTTTGAAGCTCCTCACAGAGACGAGGGGCCTCAGGGTTTTGTCATGTTGGGGTGCTTTGACCCAACGTGATAGCTTCGTCATCTTCCTGCAGCTCGGATGCTTTGTCACTAATCCAACCAATATGCCGCCGCAAGCCTTGACAGGAACAGCAGGGCACAAAGGAGCAAACATGTACAGTACTCTTCACGCCGAGATGAATGTCTCAATCTGGGTTCACCCAAGAAACCCTCAAGAAAATTCAAGAAACATGAGAGCATGCTTTATGTGTTGTACAGAAGATCACTCCCTTCCCTTACAAAGACTTCCCCGACATCCACTGTTCGGCAGAAACGATCGCCTGGGTGGAGATTGGTAGAATGCACTGTGCTGACCATCCCTGCACGCATCGAGCGATCGAACACAGGTCGGTCAGACCTGGTTTATTGAGAGACCGATGCGTAGTCAGCGGTTAGGGCCCCCTTGGGCAGTGGACAGAGACTGATGACATAAGCACACTGAGGTTGGTCAATTTTCAGGAAGCAATGGACCAGCGTAGTCAGAACTGCTAGTAATATCCCAACTGCGGGTGTTCTATCTCTTGAACCTACACCTCCTCAAGGTTCCTTTGCCTGATCCACTATTGTCTCCCTTTGCCCCCGGCACAGTGCATGCAGAAGCAGCTTATCTTTACGAGTTGTAGCTGTAGACAGCTTTCATGCCAACAACCCATGGCATAACAAACGGGGACTCTTCTTCGGCCCTCTCAAGGCCCGGGGTTTTAGCTGAGATTTCGTCCTTTCATGCGAAACGAAGGGCCTATCTGTCAGCCCTCTCTGCCTGAAAGCTTGCTGCTAGCCAGCCACCGCTGATGCTTGGGCCTGACATCGTTCGGGACCGTCACACCGACAGCGGATCGACACGGAGCACGTCACGTGTCGTAGAAACAGACGGACGGTCGAGTTGAGACGGACGTAGCCAGGGCCAACCGAGTGATGGGTGATGACATCTGACTATTAAAAACCACACAACCCTAAACAATGACACAAGCTCAAAGGCTTTTGATGTCACCAAGCTGGTCCTTCGAGTGCCAAGTGCTGAACAAGCTGGCCGCAAATGAGGAAGAAGGAGCCCCACACAGAAATCTCCATGGAGTAGAGCCATGTATTCCTCAGCGAAGGACACTCATGGGAAAGTTGTCATCGAATCACAGGGCAGCCTATCTATGGATGGATGATAACTACATAGATTAATACATGAAAAGCCGTCTCCACGCCCTTGGGAACATTGTCGCACGGGAATTCAATATCAGATCAGAGTCCCTCGCCATATGTCAAATATATTTTGCTTCAGACAGGGCCTGTCACGTGTAATTGTAAAAACACTTGGCGGCACATCTAGATATTGTCATACTTTCAAAACCTCGCTTGGTGATGATTTCTGCCAGGCAACCACATTGTAGTTGTTCACTAGCTATGCGAGGCTCATCCAGACAACTTAGACAGAGTTCTCAGGAGCTACCTGAGAGGCCTGGCGGCCTGCATTCCTTGTTTCCACCCCTATATCTGTTCCGGGGCAGATGGACCACAAAACACAGAAAAGGCACCATTTTAGATCCGTTTAGACCCCCACCGCAAGCTGAATCCCACTGTTTGCACCAAATATGCAAAAATATTGTATCCCAAACTCCGAAACACTACATGAAACACCCTGTTGGGTGAAAGTCATGCAAAGTCACTTAACACAACAATTCAACACTTATACAATCCACAAGTTGGCCTGCTCATTTCTTCCTACCATACTGACCAGACAAATTCAACGTGCACACCGGTCTTCACCGAGTCTCCTGCCAAACGCTCCTTTCAGAGCGCGCTGAGTCAACGCCGCAGTGAGCCCCGAGCTCACCACCGCCACCAGAACAGGAACCACGCCCAACCAGAAGCGCTCGTCCCTGGGGTTTGGTCACATCGTTGTGAGGTTCGACAGTACGTTCGAATGAAATAGTTTAATAATCCTATACATTCGTATACGTATACTGATGAGAGCATGTTTGATAGCGGTTTGCTCTGGAAGCCTTTTTCTGGGTTGGGGCTCATAGAACTTTCTGGGTCAAGTAGATGGCTGATTAATAAAGCCCCCATATATATGAAACAAATTTTACAATCCAATGGGAGGTGTCATTGATCAATAGTCTACATGACCTTTCTGAGCACTATGTCAAACAAACCGCAATGTTTCTTGATTACGTTGAACATTGTCAGGACATGTCGGGGAAAGTCCAGCCAGTTGTGCCCGTACCAGTGTCTGGACCCGTGCCTGGGCATCAGATCGTCCACGGACGTTGATCTTTTCTTCGACAAGAGTAGCGCTGAGAGGAAAAGTAGAAACAACGCAAAGCACTGTATGGCTGATTGCCGCCTGCCTTGAAGCAAAGAGAACAGCTCAAGACTCGGGGTATGTGGATGTGTATTCCTCTATGTATTGATTGATAAGTTTGGATGCTCTCCAAACTGATGCAGCTGCTGATTCAGATTGACCCATGGCAGTGTTCACTGGACCGGCATGAGTTGATTCCACATGGGGCCCGGTGGGGGGCGGCACAAACGACTGCCTGGCACGGGTCTGACAAGTACGGATTAATTCCCCCAGCTTGGCCATGCAGCCAGGTGGCCTAGCAGCAAGTAGCAAATCAGCGCCGCTGACAAGGTCTTGGTCTGATTCAATAGATTGAAGGTAAGAGAATCCAGGTGAGTCTGACCTCAAGTCCGTAGCTCAATCAAGCACCCATGTAGTGTTTAGCTTCTCTTGTTCGTATGAACAAGTTCCTGAACGGACCAAGCTCGCACCACTTGCTGGCTTCTCATTGACTCAAACCAACAAGACATCAGCAGAAAATCAGAAAATCTAATCGAGTCTCACGGCCAAGGTACCCACTTGTAGCAGCCAACCCTGTCCAGCAAACAGTGCAGAAGGCAAGCCGGCCTTGAGAGTCGAATCTCCTCAGCCCGACTCCGAACGAAGTCGGCGTCAAGAAAGCATTGGAGTCATGACTTGTTTACAAGAACATATAGTTATACTGTTGAATGGTAATGAATATTTAATATACAACTTATTGAATATGTATGAATATCTAAGCTCGCCTTCAACAACTTTGAAGGGGATCAATCCGTACAGTAGGCCTAAGACTTGGGGGATAGCAAGTGCTTTCTCCAATTGCGATGATTCCATCCACCCCAAAAAGTGCTTCCCACACGGGCCATCCTTTGTCGCCGACCCACACGACCCGACCAGACTCGAAGCACAATTCCATCCACCTGGGCCATGAGATGGCGCAAGAGATCGATGCCCCATCTCCCCAGTCGCCCGACTGAAGAACCGCTGTATTCTACCGCGGCCAAAGCGCGAAAGGTCCAGCTGCGAGCGATTGCTTTCAGTTCTTCTTTGGTGCTTCCAAGCCTTCTGGAGGCATGGTGAGGCCACTGGTTTGAAACTCTGGAGTGTTCATCCATGTCTAAAATGTATTGGGATCTTCAAGTTGGAGTTTACAAACCTTCATCGAATGCTGGAGACAGGCAAAACAGCGTGCAGGCTGAGTGGCAAAAGCACCGAAGCTGAGATGAAGATCTTCATGGTGTTGGAGCTCAGTAGAATCACAGAGGCCAAGGCACCCCGCGGAAGCAAACGCTTTGCCAGCAAGGGCTGCAGACCAAACTGAGCAGCTAAAAGCACCTAGGTGTGACCAAACTGAAGATCTTTTTCACTCGCAAAATGATCAAGTTGCCAGGGCAACATAGGGAGAAACTAAACAAAGCCTAAGTCGCACATTATTGGACCATCGGACCACTGAGAGACATATTCAGTCCAAGATGCCAAGCACAGGAAGCGACCATCGAAGGTGAAGCGAAGAAACTCGCCTATTCTTGGTCTCCAGGAAGGAAGCTTCCTGTTTCAGTGCGACCCCTCAATGGACCTGCTTTCTTATCCTCTAGGCTCCCGTGATGAATGATGGATCTTTTCTCAGAATCTTTGTTGGGCCATTCAGGGAATGCCCACATCCAGAATTGTATTTCAGGTCTTCCAGTGGCAATTTCTGGATGAGGATGAGGAATGAGGAATGAGGGATGATGGATGATGGATGATGGATGAGGATGAGGATGATGATAATGATGACGATGCTGATGCTGATGCTGGTCTATTCTGCATGCCACACGTGCTGGCATCGACTTCGACCAGTGTGTTCGACCATAAATAAGCTCCAGTGAAAGGGCAGGTCGCTCCAGTTCTGAGACGCTCAAGAAAAAAAAAAAAACATCACATGAAGAGGTATTGAAATCCAAAAGGAGCGGGCTTTATTAATCAAGAGTCAACTGGCTCCAGTTTGGCCTGACTACAATCCCTGACTGGCTCCATTCAGTCAAGAAGCATCCCAGTGCGGCTGAACAAAATTGAGGCAAAACTAGGCCATCCTGCAGCATCAACTTCCGCTACCATGGCGGGACCTACAATTCGAGTGCTGCCATGTTCCAAATGAACAGAGGCATTGGAATGGAATGTGGCAAGGATCAGCTGCAGGCTGCTATATGCTGGACTCTCATTGATTGTTCAACTGCAAGGATTCTCTGCATCAAACCTTCTTGGGTGTAAGGGTGGGTGGGCACAGTACCCCGTGCACCTTTCATTTACACGATTCAAACTGTTCGTATGTTCTTCTGCAACAGGCCTTGACAGGGCTACTAAAATGTACTAAGAATACATGGTGTATATCCAAGCTTGTTGCTTCACTTTTCAATGCTCCAAAATGGCTTCGTGATGTTTCCAGCTGTGCGAAGGCTCAAAAACGGTTTCCAGCCACAGGATGCCACAGGACATGTCGGCACAGAAAGTAACCAGACTCGTCCCTCTCAGGCAGGATCCACCGCGTGGAACCAATCTGCGAATCGCCTGGAAGCATTGCAAAATTGCCTTGTTCAAGGCAAATCATTCTCAAACCATGTTTACAAAAGTTTACAACATAATCGAATGTCTGCTTGGGCTCCCAGGTGAATCCTCACGATGGTATGGGATGGTGTGGGATGGTTTTACCCACTGGGCCTCTTCAGCTTCCATGAGCTCCTTCTTGTCTTCATCAGAGAGGACATCAATACCTCAGATTCAGATCTCTGGCGCTGTGCTGCGCTTTGTTTGGCTCGGTCGGCTGTGCACAGCACAGTGCTCGCAGCCAGATTTCAAGAACCGCCGGGGAGGTGACCCACACCATTTCGGTCACGATTCGCAGAGTCCAAGGTAGACACCTGGTTTTTCGTATTTCGGGAAGAGGTGTCTCCCCAAGTTGCTGCATAACACTGCTGAAGTCGGTTCAATTGGGTGCAGCATTGCGTAGGTACATGCCAGGTGTGCCGTAAACAATCGCAAAGCCTCCTCCACATGGCTCACATCTGCAGCCTGCACAATTCGTAAGCTGAAGAAAGGTCGTGACAACATGACCAGGAGAAACACGTGCGCTGTCGCACGAACATGCTGTCGCAAACACCAAGCTCTGTGTCTGTCAGATCCCAAGGGGGACACCAACTTACTTGTGTCTGTCTACTTGCGATGGTTCGAGTCTTTTGGGATGGTTCGAGTCTAGTCTTGGAGCCTTGGGATGACTTTGTTGAGATGTTCCCATATATAACTCGCCACGGTGGACTCGCGAAACCAACCAAACACCCGTGACCCTTTGGACAGCTTCAACCACTCGAAGCAGTCTCAAAGGCCCTCCAAAGGCCTCCTTCATCTCCATTTTCGCAAGACCTCACATCCACCATGCATGACGAGGTGCAATTCATTGACTCATTTCTTTGCCAAATGGCTCTCTGCAATTCGTACGATGGCTTCCAGCTGCCTGCACAAAGTGGCGTTGGAAGACCGACTCGGTTTCGAATATCCTGTGACTGTGAGTCTGTCAAGCAGTTTCAACAAAACATGGCCGGCAAGCTTGCTGCTGAAGCTGGAAGCTGGCTCGATGAAATACAGAATCAGCTATTAGTAGCAAGGTGCACCGCTACTAGTAGCAAGTGCATCGCTATTAGCAGCAAGAAGCTACTAGACTAGTAGCGATGCCCTTGTTACTACTGTAGTAGCTTCTTGCTACCAATAGTGATGCCCTTTTGCAGTAGTTCTTACTTAGAGAGATTCATGTTCAAAACCCGTGGACGCCTGACGGTGATCGGAATCGTGGCCTCACGAGTGAAGCAACAAACCGAGCTGCCAGTTTGATGTGCCATGAGCTTACAGTTCGGCCTGCCATGTTAAATTGTTGCTGTACTTGGCAAAATAGAAACACAATAAACACCCATAAACACATGTGAACAGCTCATGACATCAATCGTATGGTTTCGATATGACCCGCAGCTCATGACCCACTTCACCGATTTCATCGCCTTCTCTGATTTCATCGCCTTGCGGATGCCCACGTAGTGGTTCTTCAAGACCTGCGCCCGCCCGCCACGCGGCCGCCACGCCGCCGCAAGGGACCGGACGCCTCGGCACCGTCCTGCGTGATGCGAGGAGAACACTTGGTGCGGCAGTAGGCGATGTACCTCCGTTGATGGCAGGTGGCAGGATGTGCTGTTCGACCGGTTTCGGAAGATTGGGTGGAGATGTGATATGTGCTTCTCGGTACATCTGATGGCACACCCACAGCGGTGCTTTAAATGTCGTGCAACAAACCCAGCGTCTATGTCATGGAGAAAAAACAAAGTAGACTCCATATCCTCTGTCAATGACGGTTGGAATCACAGCCTGAGGGCAAAAAAGAACAGCCTGAGGGCTCCAACTCTGGTTCAAAAGGCAAAGGCTTATGAGTGTCAAACTCCAAGGCTCAGTGACAGCAAAGAAAAACGGCATCAACATTTTGGTAGAACCCACTCTTGGTCCTTCAACATGATGGCGCTTTAGGGTCTTGACCTCGGTGTCAGCGCAGACTCTAAACAAACGCTTCGTCCGTTTGCACGCTTAGGTTCTGTGAATCATGCGATTGGCCCAAAGTATCGCTCAGATCGCCCTTCGACTGTTCTTTTTCGAATCCATGAAGGCTTCTGCCCTTCAAAAGCCGCAGTCCAGGTGCGACTGTTCCTCAACAGAACCTATCGGACGACTCTACTCCCTTTGGGAGGCAGCAAGATGTCTTTCAGAAGGGGGCGCCGTGGGGAGTGGAGTGGTATATATTATATATTGAGAAACGACAAGCGCTCTTATGATCAGCTAAGTAACAGCCTGAATAGCTCTATCTGACCATCTGATCCTCCCAAATGAACTCTGAAACAAAGTAACGTGAAAAAAAACAAACAACAGAACAAAGCGACAAACCCCATCCATCTCTCCCATGGGGTCAGCCATTTTGTTGGTTTTAATGGTCCTTTTGTTTTCTTGGGTTTTGGCCACTCAGGTCCAAAACTACCAAACACCTTTCTAGAATCCTGCTTGATTCTCCCTTTTTCCAGTTTAAGTCACAAGTCTTTTGTGAACATGGCACATATTTCTTTGTAAAACAACACATGTTAAGCGTATTTTTAGTATCAAATAAGGTATGTAATGAGGTTTGTTTACAAGTCATAGCTTAAAGTCGCTTGAAGTATTGATTTGTAGTAACCAAGTTCAAATGTATTTTAGACAAACAATCCAAGAATCCGTTGGTGATTGGTTTCAACGAAAAGTCACTTATATGATCCCTTTCAATATCAATTCAGCTAGAGCTTTTCCATGTGTTTCCAATCAAATCCATTGAAAAGTCTTTAAACGACAAGTTAAAGTGAAAGGACAGCAAAAATGGTTGAATTAAGTATTTTTATGTTTCCAATCAACAGTTCTTTAAACTCCTTTTCAAAATAGCGCAGAAAGAGTATCTATATATTCGTAATTGATGTCCAATTGAAATTCGTTCAGTCACTGTTTAAATCAAAAACAATTGAAATGAGCGACAAGCAAACTCCAATGGTATTTTCCAAAAAGCAAACGTTTGACAGTTCCATACCTCACATTACAAAAAACACATATCCTTCTTCATTGGTCTTCAAATCTACAAATTAATAATGAAAAAACAATCTTTTGTACATCTCCATTCATTTGACCTCACAAAACACAAAAGCATATCCTTCTTCACTTGACTTCACATCTAAACATGGTGAACTTTTTTCCCAGAAAGGGACGCTGTCAGGTCCCACGTTTTCCACGTTTCGGGAAATACAGTTAATTATAAACATGCACTGCATTGTATTGTATTTACTTATACAGTTATATACAGCAACAATTCCACAACAAGTATAAAGCACAGTGCCATGGTATCCCAATAGTAATGTTAGCAACAGTTCTTTTTTGCTGACCCCCCCAAAAAAAAATAACATCAAAGTGTACGAGAGTAGAAGCTTTCAACAAAGAGTAGGAGAGCAGGGTTGAGTAAAAGACCCTGACTTCCCTTCCCTAAAGTGTAGCAAATTAGGAGCCTTTGGCTAAGGCCAGGAGGGGGGGCGACCCGAAAAAAAAAAAAAAAAAAAAACTGTAAAACAAATAAATATATATATATATATTTATTTTATTTTTTTTCGGTCGACCCCATTCCCAGGAAGAAACTCCAGCAAATGCAGGAGAGTTGGAGATGTCTTTTTTCGGTCGACCCTCCTCCCAAGAAAGAAACTCCAGGAAATGCCCTACTAATAGGTTGTTACACGAATTTGAAGGTGATGCCATAACAAAAATAAGATTAAATTGTTGGTATAAGTTTTGGTGATGTTAAAATGGAACCATTTGATTATTCAGAATTTGATGTCATAGCCATTGATCAAATTTGTTTCTTCGGTTTGAGTGTTTATTGGAACACCACAAGTAGTTTGTTGAGCAATATGTTTTTGCAACGCGTGATACCAAACAACTAAAACCAGTTCAGGAGCTGACAAATAGGTATGTCAAAGAGATTCTTTTGCAGCACCATTTTTGGAATGTATAAAGGCTACTTTAAACTGACACATGCTGGCATTGCAGTATATAGTGTTAAGAATGATGTTTTCACCATCAAGGCTGAAGATGAAAAGAAGCCAAGGGAGTGGATTCTATTAATAAGATTGGAGGCTGGAGAGTGAGCAAGTATGCGGATATTAGATTAGCTAATGAACGTTACCAAGTTATAGAAAATCAAACTGTAGAGATGCTTTACATATTACAATTCAAGAACTATGTACTTGTAAATATCCACAACTAAACTGATTGAAACATACTTTAAGTATTGATGATACTACGTCGCCTACAACACAGCATGCTTGATTAAGACCTGTAAAAAATCATATAAATCATATGTATGGGTTTTAAAAAAACACGCTGAAAACCACGTATTTTGGGGGACCTGGTGGCGTCCCACTCTCTTTTTCTGCAGCTCCACACCTCAACACCGACCTACCAAAAAGGTAAAATGACATCTTTCACCACTCCACCCCCCATGGCGTCCCGCTCTGATACTTTTCCCCTTGTGGGAAGTACGACTATACACTCTGCTATTCAACCCTTTACTCAGAAGGTTTGAAAGAGGACTTTCGGCGCTTCACACGCCGAGCCGCCTGTCCCTGCTCCTCTGATATTAAGCGGCCCCCTCTCTTTGACAATGCAGTCAAAACGCTAAATAATGAGCCACACACCGATGTGCAAACTGAAAGGATCATGAAGAAGTTCTGAGAGACCCCGAAGATGTAAATGGTCTGTAAAGCTGCTTGGGGGATATCTTCACAGACTGTGCGGAATATCTGCAGCAGCTTCCAGTTAAACACATCCTCATCAGAAAGAGTCAGGCGATAAGAAACAGTATCCATGTGGATAAGTTTGAAGACAACGGCCTTGGATTCATCTTGGAACGCCAAGCATGGAATTATCCCCCACTGTAGTATCACAACGCCAACGACAAAGCACCCCAGCATGAACTGACCCAAGATTTGCGCCGAGTGAGCGTCACAGCTCAATGCGATGGCAGCACTGATGCTGTCTTGGTAGGCATCCAAGTAGCCGGCGCATGAAAGTCCGAACTTCCATAGAAAGTTCAGGGGTGACAGCTCTTCGTCTAAACTAGTATCACGCATGTAGAGGAAGAACTCGAAAGCCTTTGTTGCGACAAACAGCATGAGGAATGGCATGTGCATCTCCCACAAAAAGCCCGCCTCACAGTCAAGACCACCATAGTTGAAGGATGCCACAGGAATCAATGTGCAGCAAACCACATAAAGGCACAAGAACACAACCAGTGCAAAGTCGCGGCACGCAACAAATCGCGGATGCTCCGATTGCTGAGCCAGCCCCTTGTTCTGGCAAAGGCCTTTCACCGCAATGCACAAAGCAAGAACTGCCACAACGCCACAGCCTCCTGCAATAATTCCTGACAAGCTGGCGCTCAAAAGAATGATGAGTTTGGGATGCATGTTCTTTCCTACAGGCAAATCATACACGATCCCTATTCCCCAATGCTATTTCCACCCCGAAGTTCAGAACCCAAAGGAAACTTAAATCATGTACAAAAGTCAAATGCATTCTTGCAAGAAATCAGGGCACCTTGAAACAACATCCCTCTGGATGTCAGGTCGTCCCGACTGGTGCTACCAAATGAAGTCTCATTCGCCAACGTCTCATTCGACAATGCCATAGCGAGAGCAAGGCTGTAGCTATGCGCTGAAAGTCCCTTTGTTCGAGCAAATATGCAAGTGGATGAAAAGTTTCAGTTTCTCGCCATCTCCTACCTTTAGGCAGAAGCATGGCCTTGTAGGATATACGGTTGAACACCAGAACACAGTTGAAAAAGCGTGCTCTGACGTGGTTTCTCAGGTCATTAACAATATTCATGCATACATGCCAAAGTTAGTTGCTGGGCTTCCAGACTGTTAAGTCAAAAGCTCGAGCTTGACCATGAACGAGAGGCACCGATCCCCACAGGAGAAAATCAACCACAGCTCCTCACTTAAAGCCTGTCTAAAGCCCGTCGTCATCGACGACACACATGTATACCTGAGAAGGGGGGGACGAAAGCCAGCAGCCGCCAGACGAGTGTCTCGTTTTCTGGTGGGCGTCGCGGCACAAGACACATGGTCGGCAGCTTGCGAGTCAGCGATGCCGCGGATGCGGGGGGACGTATGAATTGGTGATTGAGGGAGCAGAGAAGCAAGCCGGGCGGCTTTGGGATAAGATTGGTATGAAAGACCTAGTGAAAGAGAAGTGCGATACGTTGTATGTTGGGGTAGGTCACCATCACTCACAAGGCAATGGCATGTGTTTGTCACACGCAGGAAGGCATGCATCTTATGGAAGTTGGAAGGCGACATCAGCGTTAGCGAAGGGATACCGTCTAAGTTCGAGTGGTGGGATACCACGTGCGCGCATCACTCGCATCACCAGACCCCATTTTCACTGCTTTTCTGACCCTCGCTTTGGAGCGCACCAGCTCCGGGTTCACCCTCTCAAAATGTCCCTCTCAACGACCACCACCCCGGACACCCCCTTAACTCACTTCGTTCGCTCTAAAAGCTCAAGCCTAGCCTATCGGCTGGCTTTCGTAATATATGTACGTCAGTATGCATTTGTATCAGAGCCTTAGATTAGCTCTCCAACCGGTTGCCAATTCAATCCGCAACTCCAACGGGCACTTGCGCAGTTGCTGCGTAGTGAACGGCACCAAATGCTCCTTTGTGCAAGGAAGTAGAACCAGGAGGCTAACAGTGATCAACAAGAATAAATGCTGAAAGGAGTGGGCGCCGCTACCTGGGTTGTCTGAGCTATGCCAATGTAGTACGGTATTGTGGCTGACACAGGGACTCTTGTAAGCCATGCTAAATGGTCAACAATCACAGTAGCGACTCTGTGAGATCCTGGCTGTTGGGGATGTTTGAGTGGTGCAAGAGTTGACTGGCTGTGGGCAATGGGCTATGATCAGGATTGGAAGCACCAATCCATTTTCAGCGGTCCTAACGATGCATAGCTAATTTATCTGTTTGCTTCTGATGTCTATCAATAGTGATGCTGTCTTTTTTAAGTTAAGTGTTCTCCATGGCAATATTGACGAGAAACAACAGCATAATCATTCAAGAATTCACAAGCTTCCTCATGTTGAGCTCCGCTGTGAAGTGCCACCAGGTGCTTTGCCAATTTGTAGTCTCTCTCAGGATCTCTGACATCCTGCAGGCACGCTGGACATTCCAACTCCCAGATATATATATATATATCATATAAACTAAAACCACAAGCTCCTTGACCAGGAACATCATGTCGAAACGGGACAGGATAGTCGTTTGAAAATCCATCTGCGCAGGTCAAACAAACTTTTCACTGAAAACCCTGGATTGCTGTGTGGTCATGCACTCTCGCTGAAAGCCAAGTGTTGCAGGCCTGATCCGCCGTGTTTGAAAGGTCGTCGTAGGACCCAAAGCGCGGATTGGCAGCAGCCAGCACACTGACAGCGTGAAAAAAATTCTGCCTTGATTGGCATTTCTATAAGTTTTATTGAAAGCCATTCCTCCTCCCATCAGCTGTAGAATGCTGACATGTTTGTTTGAGGGAAGGCATGGACTCAGCAAATCTCCAGCCTGCAGCGAGTGTTGAGCCTTCAATCGAGTTCTTTGCAGGGAATAAGAACATGAGCCGACAAAAAGAACAGGAGTTGCATTCGAGTTCAAAAAGAACTCGTCTTTCAACACTCCGGAATGTGCGCTAAAGGCAAGGTGCATGGTCGTCATGCCAGCTTTTGCAATGGAGATCGTCTGCTGCTCCATAGCCTGCTTGGAAGCAAAACAAGAATATCTTTGGAGAATTGGTCCCGATCAATCTGGTCACAGAAGGTGAATATGCAGCACACATATGCAATGTAACATATTGCATACTCTTCACTTTAAGCAGATCTGTAGTGCCAATGAAAGCTCCTAAAAATGAAGCTAAAGCTCCTCTACACGTATCACATGGTACCACATGTCAACGTACAAGCCTCATGGATTGAAACACGGTCTTTCTCATCCATTTTGTCGAACTCATCGATGCACACCAGGCCATTGTCAGCAAGTACCATCGCACCGCCTTATTCATCTCTAACATTTGAAGAAAACAAGACCGCACTTGGATGTCAAAAGAAATACAGTATTCCACACCTTCCAGTGTGAAACCTCCCCCATCCTTGACGATCGCTGCCTAGAAATGAAGAAGGGCCCACTTTTCATCAAAATTAAATCAGGTGTCCCTAACAGTTTCATCAGGAGCTCGGTTTCTGTGCTTCTGACAGTCAGCCCTGCAGCACTGCTGCCCTTTCCGCTTGTATACCTGAAGGCTGCAGGACATGTGGCGCATGTGACCAGTCTTGACATATTGCCGTTGGTCCCAACGAGCGCACACGGCAATGGGTGCAACTTGGTGGGCGAACTTCAAGAACTGAGGCGCAGGTGTATCCGCAGCGAAGTTCGCAGGTGCACAAGAAACATATAGTACAAGTAGTATTGTATGTATGTATTTATGCATGCGTGCATGTATGATCATGTATGTATCACATCTACTGAAGATGTGTGTATAAGTATGTATGTATCGTTGCAAAAATTACACCACCGTAGACCCCAAACAGATTGCGTTTTTCAAGTCGGAACACCTGCAACTAGAGTTTGCGACGTCCAGAGCTGGGAGACATATGTAAGTGACAAATGCAATCAGAGGCGGACAGAGCAGTCCAGAACTGGGAGACACATGTAAAGGATTGCAAGGCAGAGGCGGACACAGCAGCCCAGAGCTGGGAGACACATGTAGAGGGTTCTTGTTGGTCCTTGTCTCCCTTCGGTCTCCTTTTGTCTCCCTTCTTGTCTCTGGTCTTGCCTCCCTTCTTGTTGGTCACTGTGTCGGCTTGGCTTTCTTCTGTTTCCTTTTGTCTCCCTTCTTGTCTCCCTTCTTGTTGCGCGGCGCCAACCGAACCTGGGAGACAAAAGTAAAGAAATCCCATGGGGTACAAATGAGTAGAAATGCTGCATGGCCAGCGGAAAGGGCGGACACCAGCAGTGCAGGCACGGAACCTGGGAAACAAAAATAAACAAATCACATGGGAGACAAGGGAATAGAAATGCTGCATGGCCAGCGGAAAAGGGCGGACACCAGCAGTGACAGACCTGGGAGACAAACGAATAGAAATGCTACGTGGCCAGCGGAAAAAGACGGACACCAGCAGTGACAGACCTGGGAAACAAATGAAGAGAAATGCTACATGGCCAACGGAAAAGGGCGAACACTACCAGTGATACAAAGGGCGGACTCGTCTTAAGAAAGAATTGAGAACCCCTAACAGTAAACTGTTTGGGAAAAAGTGTCTTAAATGCCACTATTTACTATATTTATCTGTACGTATAGTCGGTGCCAACAGTCTCACACTCAGGGTCCTCCTGACTCTTGGCCGCCCACCTGACTCTTTGCAGTTCCAGGATCTCCCAACAGCAAGACATTGATGTCACCTGCCGGGTCCGTCCCTCCGCTCCATCTGCTCCGTCTCCGGTCCGTCCCAGCGGTGAAACCCCCCCACCGCGCAGGCGATTGCCGCTCGGCAGCAGCTTCCGCGCACCCCCGAAGAGCTGACCTCCGCGAGAAGAAAGCGCGCGCGCTGACCGGTGACGTCGCCGCGTTTGGATGTTTCCCTGCTGTGACGTCGAACATGGTTCAATATGTTGCGTTCATATGTTGCGTTCGATTTGGCCAGGGAAATGACAATGACTCACTCATCTGGGTATGGATTGAATATTGGATCCAGTAAAACATTAATTATTTGAAACAAGTTGAAACAAGTGTCGAAAACCTACGGATCTCTGAGTGCTAACTTTTTGGGCCATAGCCATAGCCTAATAGCAGTAGCAGCAGTCACAATCTTCTGTATCTAAGATGCCCGCAAGCAATTGCCCGCTTCACTTGGTTGATGGAGTCCTGCAGAACAAAGACAAACAATCCTGAGAATCGCCAAGAAAAAAACAAAACCATCTTTCGGGGACCGAATAAGCGAGCCCATGGCGGCTAATGTTCCTGTACAACATCTGAGCAGTCGCTGTCATTTGCAAGAATGTGTTTTGGGTCTGGCTACTGGGCTGCTAACTACTCGTTTGCAAAGGCTTCGCAAGCGAGAAAACTGCTCGGGTGTGCTCCTTCTCACTGGCACAAATGGCTGGTGCGATGGACCTTGAGCATCAGTGAGATTTGGAAGGACAAGATGCTCACCCTCCAGGCGCACTTGAAGATCATCTCCCTGATCTCAGGATCCTAAATCGCACGAGAAGTATATGATTCTGTTCAAGGCTTCTTTTTCATCCAAAATGCATCACAACCAATGTCCTTGGCCATGTGGTCAAACTGCTCCTCCTCATCCTTCGTGATCTCCAGAGCACCCTTGAAAGGTTCAAATTGGGTTCATGTAGAACCTTTGGCCTCTGAATTGAAGTACTTGTCAGAACCATTGAAAAACACATATGAAAACGATTGAAAACGGCAGCCAGCCTGCCCCTGGTTCCCTTGCGCCAATTGTAGGCCAAGCACCTCACGGCAAACTGCGATTTTGGAATCTGCGACACCACGTGCAGCTGTGCGTCGAGGCGAGTGCGGCACAGTCGTTGCGAGCCGAGGGTGGAACTTGAATGTAGGAGTACTTCACGGTGTTGGTGCCCTGATTCCTGCACTCGGGGCCCTTTTTTGATTCTATTCAACGGCCACGTAAGAGCGTGGCAAGGCCAGAGAACCCCACATTCACAGAAACATGTTTTGCAGGGCTCCAGTCCTACCCCGTGACAGTTTGTCTCCAGCAGCCCTTTCAGTGGCGCAGAAGATTCCTCACCAAGATCAGAGTATCAGGACAGTGTCAGCAAACATAGACTTGCACAAACATCTCTAATATACACCTGCATCAAACTCGAAAACATGGCCATCGGCTATCGAACATGAATATACACATCCATACAATCCATACTCGTCGAGTCGATACATCTCTGTACTGTTGACGCATGGCTTCCGATGCCGGGCACCTGTCTAAACCCCCTCTCTGCGTGCCAGCTCAGCGTCCGATGCAGGTCAGTCGGGTCCCAGGAGTGCACCTGTCCACATCATACCTGAAGTGAAAACACACACACTGATCTTGTTACACCCAGTCATAATGAGTCAGCTGGGTCATGTATATAAATAATGAATATATAATTTCTTATTGTTCATTCGACGATATTCTACATGTTTTACAGAAACGTCAGGGTCACGCCGTGACTCAAAAGTTAACCAAACACGTTGTTCAGTCGCTCATTAATTAAGTCGCCCTCGCAACCTACACCTAATCTGCACCGCGGCCAATTTCAACTCTGGGCAGCCTCCATTTCCACGAGCAACAACAGAAGTCAGGGCACATTTGGGCACAAAGCTCGATGCTGCGTGGCATCTCTCCAACCGGAACCTGCAAGATGCAGTGACTGGGATGGCTGCAATCGAGGGTCTGACTGGAGTTTTGGCACCTTTTCTTTTGGATTGAAGCGCATTTACAATGACAGAATATTTGGCACAGTAAGCTATATACGTAAAGTAACATATTTTCGCGGGGTTGCCCAAAACGGAAAGGACACATAAAGCCCAACCAATGGCTCCCTTCTGGCGCACATGCTCTGGTAGCTCTTGCAAGCGGATGGACTGGTCTGGGGCGTACTCACAAAGGTCTCCAACGGCTACCTGGCCCAACTTGTGCCCTTTCGGACCTCTCGGGAGTCCATTTTGCCACGGTTTGGAGGTGACCCGGTCAGCTTTCAGCCGCTCGGACTAGACTCGAGTTGACACAAGTTGCCGGTCGACTTCTGGCATTCAAAGCCAGCTGTGTATGTCAGTGTTCTTTTGCAACGAGACCACTTAGACTCAGACTTGAGTTGAGAATGGTGTTTGCAATGAATGTAAAACGTCAAAACTTCTTTGCTTGTTTGCGCTCCCTCACTGGTTAGCACTGACAACCCCTGATTCTGAGTTGCTCTACATCCTGTGTGAGGCTCAAGCTCTTCCCACTCTGGTGATCAATAAAAAGATATCAACGTGAACAAGGGATGTATATTGGCGGTCGAAGGAGCACGCTTCAAGAAATTCCAGCTTAAGCTCGCACGGGTGCACGAAGGAATTCTGAGGGCACTTCTCATAGTTCCTCAGCAGAGCAAGGAAGTTGCAGGGCTGACTGGGAGACAGAGTCAGCAATGTTCCGCACCATTTATCGGCACATATATAATGTCAGTATGAGATCAAAGCATCAGCCCTTGCGACCCCTTGCTACCAGCTTCACAAGAACATTGTCCAAAATGACCTCACCCTTTGGCCTTTAATTGACCTTCCATTCACAACCAAAAAAAGAATGATCCACTCCCTGTACTTCAAAAAATCCAAGAATAGAACATCTCCACCCAAAGCATGGCTTCTACTGGTAACAAGAAGCTACTAGTAGCTCCTGGCATTACTAGGAACAAGGGGACACTACTAGTAGCTCTCAGTCTGGGCGACTCGGCGACTCGGCTGGGCTCTGTAAGGCGCTGAGTCGTTGGCCCATTCCGCAAGGCGCTTCCTTTGCAGCCCGACGGAACGTGAGCGGCCGTGAAGCCACTCTCCACGGTGACCTCGGTGCTCTCAGGAACGGGTGGCATGACAAGGTGATGTTGATGGATGGCTTCTTCTTATATAATATATGATATACAGTATCATATATTTGTATATTTTTATATGCAAAACAACATGATAAGGAACTCAGAAGTCAAAAAGAAACGTGGCCTCTTCCACATTCTCACAGTTGCTGCACTTCAGCACCACTTTGCGAACCTCGCCGGCGGCTCCACCGGTTCCCGGTGATGTCACCGAACGTCGTCCCTCGCCGCGGTGTCTCCAGCGGCTCCTTGTCTCGAGGTGTCTTCACCGAGGCCACGATGCCTTGAATCACCACCAGCTTTTCGACCTGCGAGGTCAGCAGTGCCGAGGAACGAAAGGCGTGCCGATTCTGGGAAAGAATGGAGAACGGGTAGAACGGGTAGCCCATGCTAGTTGCTTAACATAGACTTGTTAATACATACCAGTAGGCTATGGATAACCCATTCTGCTTCCTTTGGAGCCCAACAGGCTTTGCGAATGAATGCTGACCGAACCTGGTCGGAGGTGAGATCGCGAATCCTGACAGCAAGGACGCGAGTTCGTCGAGAGGTTCCCTCGACGGAGTTCCAGGACCAGGTTTGGCGCTCTGATTGGCATTTCTGACATGTTTGATGGAACCAAATATAGCTTTTAACCCAATAGCGATGGCCTCAACCCTAGTCGTGATGGCCTCCAACCCTAGCCGTGATGCAACCTATTAGCCAAGAGTTGCTGAGATTCAAACATCTTCGGCTTTGTGGTTCCAAGTGTGCCTGAGCAAAATCCAATTCAAAAAACACTTCAATGTTCGCAAAGCCGAGCGCGTGCATCAATCTGAGCCGCTCAGTTGGGTTGAAACAACGAGTGGTCGCAGTGGTTCCGAAGCGTTGAACGAATCGAACTCAGTCAGAGCGCCATCCAAGTTGGCGTCAGTCTTGAGAGCAAGCTGCATCAAGGGCACCTTGACTTGGCAACAAAAGCGAAGCGACGACTTGGCGAAAAAAAAAAAGGAAAGAACAAGCATCTTCTGACTTCGGGGGGCACGAGCAGCGACTTGAGAGAAACTCGTGGATCACAAGCTCCGATGCTGTGGGTTAATAAATAGCTTTGTCCATGAATGTAAAACCTCCGAAGATCATCTTAGATCTCACCAGTGCAGGGCCTTGAACGGTGGCTTTTGATCTGAATGATCCCACCGGCCTTGCCGGGGACATCTTCCTCTTGGATAAATTCTCGGTACAAGTCCTGAAGGCATCAGAATTGAGATTTCTGCCAAAGAATTATGGGTAGAGCCGTCATGCACAAAGCAGGTGATGTAGCAGTAGAGCGCAGCAAGTAATCAAATGAATAAAACGACGGTCGGACGTTGCCATGCGGCTTCATCAATGAACAAATCAGAAGGATGATAATAAGATACTGAGAACAAACAGAAGATCTCGTCTGATTGACCGGCTGGGGTGTGTTGATTGCATGGAAAGAAACAACGCGCGTACACACACGCACACACACACACATCAGCATTCCTTCAAGATCGCTCCATGACCATCTTGCTACACATACCATGCATGCAGTAAGAATAGTTCGAAGACCAAGTGGAAGCAACCAAAGATTCTGAATCCAGATACCACAAGGCCATGTCCAGTCGTGCTGGTGCAGACATGCATGTCTCGCCCATCGCAGTCAGTCTTGCATGTCGCCCTCGCGCTGCCCAGGCCCCCAGGTGACCGTCTTCCCTCCCCTGAGAGCCTGGAGAGCCTTTTCACAAAGCTTCACAAACTCTGTTGGTCCTGGGCACGCGACGCCCTGGACCGGAGACATCACGTTGCCACTCGAGCCGCGGAGTTGCATCAGCCGGTGGGAGCCACCGGCGGCTCGCCAAAACCGAGCCAAATAGCCGTCCCAAACCCCAGCGCACTGGGGTCCATGCTGTTGATGAGATTGTGGTGCAGAATCACGCCATCCTGTCCGAAAGATAGACCAAAAGCAAATATTTGCAAAGATTGTAGAATAATCACGAATATTATATTACTCTACAGACTCTACATATTTATTGGCATGGGCTTCAAGAAACTGAACTAGTGTAGGGAAGTGTCAAACGAAGGCAGCCACTGATCCAATCGAGGATTTCAGCGGTCCCTCAGGCCTCACTCTCGCTGAAATCGTTCATGCTCACCTGCGGGGCAGTGTTCAAAGCTGCGCTGGTCTTGCTTTAAATGGGTCAGAAATGGTCAGAACACTCACCCTGCAGAGCTCGCTCTTTTTTTTCCGGAGTACAACCTTCGCATCCCAGGATCATAGCGGCACATTCGTGACCTGATCGAAGTCAGGAGTTTTGCTCAGGTCCGGAGCCGATCGAAGTCGGGTTCGCTTCGGACACGGAGAAACCACCTGAGCGGTGTCAAAAACCATCCGGAACTTTTATTAAGATTATAACAGCCTCTCGCCAATCCCTTCGCAACGCTTTCGCGGCTGCATGTTTTGCTTTCGCCGACCCACTTCACCCGACAACCTCTTTAGCTAACCCTTTCGCCGAGTTTCTGCTACTTACATCTAAGAAAAGTATCAGCATGTATCAGCAAAGGGGAATCATTCCTAATCTGCAACCACTGCTTTCGCCACATCTTCGCGAACCTTTCGCCAACCTTTCGCCTGGTTATCATGAATCTTTGGATGACATGCTTTGTACTGAAAACCTCTTCGCCAACCCTTTCGCAACAAAATCCATTCATCAAAAAATCAGAGCCTTCTCCAAACCTTTCGCCAAGCTTTCCCCAACTGCAGTTTTCCTTTCGCACAGATTCATAATCTTAAGTCCTACCTAAATTCTTTCATAGAGGTTTATGACGTTGCTCACCTGAGGGAAGACTGTATGCCATGTATGCTAAGCATTCGACCTTTGTGGACGCAGTCTGGCAGGGATGCTCCCACCTGAAGCCGGCTTTTGGATGTGCAAGTTCGAAGGACTTCTACTACTATCCAGTCCTGTTGTATAGCTCAAGCCGCATGGCTGTGGACCCTGGACCCACCAACATGAACCAAACACTGTACCCGCCGGGATGTCAAGTGATCCCATGCTATTATGTATGTGGCGCGCTGTGGTATTGACCCACAGTCACACGACAGATGGATCCAAGCCGATCGCCCAAAGCCCTAATTGGCTGAGGCCCGGGCAAGTACTCGGGACAAAAAGCCACCCACAAAGGCATCTCCCGCTCCATTGGTGTCGATGATGCTCGTCACCCTTATGGAGGTGCCAGCTAGCTTCTTCTGATATCGCGTGAGGTCATGTCCAAATTCCAACGCCATCACCATCGACCTATTTGGAGACACGATTGTCACTCAAAAAAAGCGCCTAAGTGGTCGTGGTCGATTCTGTTTCTGTGGATGTCCAGAAGGCAAAAGGACATAAAAGGACTGGATGTTCACGTTGGTTTAACAGTAAGAGTTATATAGTTGAAAAGAGATGCTGCTAGAATCCGCTAGGTCTGAAATGTGGGACGTCCCTGAGCTCAACTGCGACGTTGCATCCCGTTACACGTTCCCCTAGAACACCCTCTCCTAAACCGTGTCCACACCTTTAAAGGGTTAGCTGAAGAATCCGTTTCTGTCGGTGTTGTTCGTGTCCACTGAACATGCCTTCTTTCAAATTCATGTCATTGTTTGCTTTCAAATATACAATTTCTATCAATTTCTTTGTCCTGTCCAATTTGATCTACAACTCTTCAAATTGAAGATTAATTGTTTCTTCAGCTTCATGCTTCTTCGAGTCCGCTGTAAAAAAAGAAGTCGAATTGAGACGAGCATCTTTGGGACAGGAAATAGCTGAACCTCCCCTCGGTGTGCCACCATGGTCGGGTGAGCGCCTGCCGTCACCACCGCAAATCCCTCCGGCTGCAGCATGGCCACAAGTCGTCGAATGAGTTCGACCGGCTCCGGATCTGACCAACCTAGTAGCTTGGCCCAAGCTTGCAGTTCTGCAGAGTTTGAGAAGAGATAGTGAGACTTGGGCAAGAGTTCGATTAAGGCATCCTTTACACGAGGCAGAAGTCCGGCTGAGGACAGGTTCATACACAGCCAAGCTCCTTTGTCAAAAGCACTTTGTGCCAAAGCTTGTGCAGCTGCTAGTCGAGGTTGAGATGTTAGCACAAAAGAGGTGATGTATATCATGGAAGCCTCCTTCACTAAACAGGACACCTGAGGCATTTCCAGCCACGCTACATCAAGCATTGACGCTGCGGCCCTCACCATTGACAACGTCCGGTCCCGAGTGTGGCCGTCCACCAACACACCGCACACACCAGTCTTGCCAGGCACCTTCTTCAGCAATGGAAGAATCCCAGCATCCTCCAAGACCTGCTGAATCAGCAACCCCCCTGAGTCAGTTCCTATTGCACCAATGAAAGCAGCTCGCCGATGTCCTGCCCATGAAGCCACTCTTAGCGCATTCATCGCCGCCCCCCCCGCGCAAGTTCGCGCACCTGCATGGTGCTGGGCCATCTCGGCCAGCGCGAGTTTCTGCGCATCGTCGAAGCCGGTGGCTTCAGAGCCCACGGAGAGGCCGAAGTTCTGGAGCGCAGCTTCTAAGTCTTCGATGACCGCAATTACATCAACCGTTGGGTTGCCCAAAGCAAGCAGCAGGGGAGGTAAATGACCAAACAGTGACTCCCAGAGCTCAGTTTCGTGCAGAGATTCCAGGCTTGGAAGTCGAAGATCCGCAGAGGCGAAGACCTCTTCAGCCGCTGCATCTCCAACCATCCAGCTTTCAGGAACGGCGATCGTGAAGCAACCAGCTGCTTTTGCGGAACATATCCCAGATGGAGCATCCTCGAAGACCACACATTCACTGGCCTTCAGTCCGAGAATTTCTGCGCAAACTTGGTACACCTGAAATACAGGCGGGTTCATGAAAAATGCAACGTTAACAACATATAATAACAAAACGTAGAACATGGTAAAACCCAGAGTAAATCAGTAAATCCTGAAAACCATCGACCCTGAGACTTGGAATCCTAAACTGTCCCCTAAACTGTGAGGCTCTTCAAACCGGAATCGGACCGGCCTCTGGGTCAGGCTTTCCTTTCATCTGCTGGCCGTTGCGTGGATCGATGGCTCCAACCACTCGCACCTCGACTGCAAGATGAACGCATGTTTGATGGATTGCAGCCAGCATGTAGGGAGAGTCCAAACATGCACAGCACAGTGATATCCCCAACTATGTGGCTGACATATCATTTGCATTCATTTGCTCAAACCTGTTCAATTCTTGCTCCTGGAAGCCTTCAGCTCTTCCAGGCGAACTGCTACACATGCCCCTTCAGGCTGTCCAACCAAAGCCCTAGAACCTCCATCACCGAAACCCACGCGTCCAATGGGCATCCTGTCTCCCGGATTCTGTTCCATCACGTATCCATGATACCCTCTGCCTTGAGCCCTTCCAACAAGTCGGTGAGATCACTGCGCAACTCCATCAACGCCTCCAGACCATCACCTCGCTCAACCGCGGTCCGACCGGAAAGGAACCTGGAGGGATCGTGAGATGCGGAGGGATCGAACTCGCTTCGTTCGTTAAGCCGAAAGCAAAAGCCATCAACTCAGAGGGGGTGTCAAGGAAGGTCTCCTTATTTTCCAAGGAGATGGATGTCCATTTTGTTGCCAAGGAAACATATGCAATCATATGCAAAGTATGTGATAGTACAACGTGAACAATATAAGTATGACAATGATTTATGATATGAATTTACATTCACATGGTGCTTGCAACATTTGATGTTGCGGTGCAATCAGAGAGACCTCAAGTTAAGCGGTCATCCTTAACGGTACAAGCACAGTACAAGTCAATACAGAGCTCGACATGTCAAGCCGCGAGGTTTGTGTTTTGAGATCCCTTAGCATGCACTTCTTGCGATGCAGGTGACTTCTCCGGCTGGTACACAAGGCAAGGGGAATCTGCAGTGTCCGCAAGCGCTGGACGAGGGCCACTGCACCTGCTTTGATGGTCATACCTTAGACTTGGGAGAGAGGCAAACTAGGTGCAAATGATTGAACATCCACAGTTGCTCCACATTCACTGGATTGTGGGGCGTTGGCCTTTGGACTGAAAAATCTTCAAAAATGCTGAGCGGCGTTCTGCGACAAATTTGCTATACCTTAGTACATCAGTGACGCCATTCTCCCGTTACTCGTCTGATTGGCCACGTGGCCCTCAAACAAGTCGCATCACTGTCATCACTTCATCAATTCGGATTCTCCGATCTCCACTCATCACCGATGTCTCCAAGGACCGTCAGGACCGTCAGGACCGTCTGTCAGACCGCTTAGTGCCCCGCTCCGAGGCACTCCGGTGAAGTGAGTCTTGAGGGCAACACCTCCAGCAGCTCCGCTCTTCGGACCTCCGAGACCTCCAGGAGCTCCAGGCACCGCTGGGGGAAGAACTTCACCGTACCTGGGGGAACGAAGCGAAGCCGCAAGTGATCGAAGCGAAGCCGAAAGCGAACAGCAGGGCCGCCATGATCTTGGAGGCCGACCATCTACCACACAGGGATTCCTCCATGAATGTTCAAATAATAGACCTTTTTAGGGAGATCGCCCCCCTGGAAGGTTTGGGAAATAGACCAAGAACCCATTAGGCGAGCGGGGTCTTCCTATCAAAATACACATGCATGTGGAATGACACGACCGCAAGATAGCCGAGCAAATCAGTCACGATGGTCCAGTGTGACGAACGAAGCCAGGCACGTGTTTTGAGCTCGACCAGTGCCACAAAAAGTCAGAAACAACAACAACAACAACAACCACAACCACAACCACAACAACGACAACGACAACCGCAACGACAACCGCAACCGCAACCGCAACGACAACGACAACGACAACGACGACAACAACAACCACCACAACAACCACAACCACAACCGACAAGAACAACAACAACCACAACCATAACCACAACCACAACCACAACCACAACAACCACCACAACAACAACCACAACCACAACCACAACAATAACGACAACAACCACAACCACAACCACACCCACAACAAAGACGACAACATCATTTACAACAACCACAACTGCAACCACAACAAGGATGACAACGACAACAACAACAACATTAACAACCACAACCACAACCACAACCACCACCACAACAATAACCACAACCACAACCACAACCGCAACTACAACAAGGATGACAACGACAACAATAAAAGCAACAACAAAACAACAACATACAAAAGCCACAGCCACAACAACAACGACAACGACGACGACGACAACAACAACAACAACAACATACAACAACCACAGCCACAGCCACAACCACAACCACAATAACGATGACAACGACAACAACCATGCACAACATTAACAACCACAACCACAACCACAACAAAAACGACAACAAAAACAACCACAACCACAACAACTACCACAACGACAACATACAACAACCACAGCCTCACGACCACAACCACAATCACAACAACGACAACCACAACAAAAGCAACCACAACAACGACGACCACAACCACAACAACCACAACAACCACAACAGCCACAACAACCACAACAACAACAACAACCACAACAACCACAACAACAACAACCCCAACAACCACAACAACTGCCACAACAACGACAACCACAACAAAAGCAACCACAACAACGACGACCACAACCACAACAACCACAACAACGACAACAACATAAACAACAACAACAACAACAACAACAACAACAACAACAACAACAACAA